GAAGATATAAAACCATTAAAAACACTAATTTGTTCAGATTCAAGCTCTGCATTATGAAGTTTAAAATATAATCAGATAGTAGGGATGGACATTCTATTAGAAATATTTCATGAATTATTCAGAATAAAAAATATGGGTTCTATTGTTTTATTTGTGTGAGTTTCAGCAGATTGGAGTAGAAGGAAACCAGAGGGCAGATAAAATAGCAAAGAGAGGAATTCATAACACTGTTAGATTTACAGTTAAAACAAGTAAATCAGAGGGAAAGAGTTTTATTAAAGAATAACTGATGAAAAAATGGCAAAAAAAGGCGGGATGAAGAAAAAACAGGAAGAAGGTTTTATAAAATTCAGAAGATAGTAAGAAGAAGAAGAAATGGAAGCAGAATAGAAAGGAGGAGAGAGGATACAATGAGGTTAAGATTTAGGAAAACAGGAATTAATTAAACACTTTTTAAAATTCAGAAGCAAACTACTGGAAAATATGATTACTGTGGAAAATCTGAAACAATAAAACATTTTATACTGGAATGTCATCAATATCAAAGAGAGAGAAGATATAAGAGGAGAGAGTTTGAATGTATTAAAGAAAAGATTCATTTAGTAGATATTTTGGATCCAGTAAACATTTACAAATAATTATTCGATTTTTAAAGAAAATTAAATTATTTCATATAATTTGATTATAGAGAAGGTCATTGTGTTTATGACATAGATGGGTAGAATGCAAAGTTGCGTATAAGTATGTAGTTTTTATTATTAGAAATTATATATATGTTTATTAGTAGATAGTTCATCACCAACCAAACTCCACACCAGTAAGTGGCGGTAATGCTACTACTGCCAATATTTCCAAGAAGAAGAAGAAGAAGTACTTCCTGTGACGTAGTCAGGGCGCTGAGCCTCAGTCTGAATGATGCTGCTTCGGTTGGTTCTCTGTCCTCCCTGCTCTCTCTCCCGCCCAGCTGCGCTGCTCTCCTTCTCTTCTCTCACTGCGGGGAGGAACAGCGGGACGCTGCGGGCTGTTGGTGGCTCTGCGGCCGCCCTGAGCAGCAAGGTAACCCGCTGAGCCCAGCCTGCTACTGCTAGCTAGCTAGCTCCTACTGCACTGTGGTGATCTCTCTATGTTCACAATCAGAGCATCTGTTCACCATGGTAGCTCACACCTGTGAGAGCCAGGCTAATGTTCCGATATTAAAGTCTTAAGATTAAAAATCATGTTTCACTATTAAAAAGTGAAAAAATTTGGTTTATTAATTTAACAGTCTGCCAATTATTATGCAGCAGAG